TCCACGCAGTGGGCAGCCGACATGACGAAGTTCGGGGCGATGAGTGTGCCACCACAGAAGTGGCCTCCACGCCGCTGCAGAGACACCATGAAGGGCCACGCGTGGGGCCGGGCCGGGCGGCCGCCCACGATCTCCGAGGCCAGTGCAGGGCCTGAGGACACACGGGGGGAGGGTGGTGAGTACCATGCAGGAGCCCCGGCCCGCGGCCGATGCATCCAGATGAAGAAACTGAGGCACGGGGGGGGGGGGGTGCCTGCCACCACCCTACCACCCCGCCAGAGCACAGCTCTTTAGACATAGTGGCTTCGGGGTCCCCAGAGGGTTCGCACCCCAGCTCTGGGCTCCCGTGCCGGCCTCGCCACCCACAGCCTCACTGTCCTGCTCTGGAAACAGGCCTGCTCGTCACGGCGGTCCCCTTCCCACGAGGATGAGGGGCCACGAGGGCCCAGGACAAGCGGAGAGGCCAAGATGCCTGGGGACAGACAGACGGACAGACACGTGGCCGCACTCACCGCCCAGTAGCATGGCCAGCAGCAGGGGGGCGAGGGCAGGGCCGACGGATCTGCGGCTTGGGGTCATGGTCGGGCTGGGGCTCAGGCGTCTCTGACCCCTGTGCCCACCTGCCCCTCTTATAGCCCCCATCCCCGGAGGCCGTTGCCCTTGCCCCACGGTGGGGCCAGGTGTCCCCACTTCCTCTCCCCCCCCCCCGGGTTGGGGGGGTGCAAGGGGCCAGGGTTGGCTCCGGCAGGGTCACTGGATGAGTCCCACGGCCAGGACCACACAATTAAATGGGAAGGTCAGATACGCAATGTCTTTCAGTAGAAGTGTATCCCCAGTTCCGCACAGGACGAGGGGCCCACCCCCCCCGCCACAAAGTTAGTCCTCGCTTCCCCGACACTCACATTGACCTGGGAGTCCTGTGTTTTTACTGAATCTGGCACCCTAGGCCCAGAGGACGCTGGCTGGGGCCCCCGCGTGCCTCAGTTAACCCCGGGCACTATCATAGTGTCAACAATGCTGCACGGTCTGTCCTGATGTTCCGCAGGGATGGAAGACTGAGGCAGGGCAGGGGCTTCCCCCACGGGCTCCTGCCCACACAGGGGATCCGGGGTCCACACCCAGCACCCAGGGCTCACAGCAGGACGGCCGCGTGCGGTCCGTCCCCTCTGGCTGTCGCTCACAGGAACTCACTGTCACGGGGGTCAGCATCTGGAGTCTGGCACAAGTCCTGGGAAGGGGCTCCCACCCCCAGGCACCCTGAGCTTCCCTGAAGCCCCCCCCACCGCCGAGCCTGGCCCGGCCAGTGCCCTGGCCCCAGCTGGGCCTGACCTCCAGTTAGCCGGAGTGCTCTGCCTGGGGGCAGCCGAGGGTCCCCAGGGCCCAGCCCCCTCCCCCGTGACCCCTGTTTCACTTCCCGCCTCCCCCAGGATGCTCCAACGGCCGCTGTCGCAATAGGCAACGTCCTCGGGGCTCAGGGCTCGGGCAGGGTGCAGGGAGGGGGCCAACGGATCCAGATCCGCTGTGGAAATGGGCGGGCCGGGGCCCCAGGGGCGCCCAGAGCCAGCGCCTCGGCCGGGGCCCAGTTGGTCCCCGGGCTCCCTCAGCCCGTGGCCACAGGCGAGCCAACCCCACGGCCCCCAGCGATGAGGGTGACGGCCCTGCCCTCCGGAGCCCTGCACACAGCAGGTGCTCGGCACCTGCCCTTTCTCCCTGCCTTGGCCTGAGGCACATCAACCCTCCTGTCCCCGTGGCAGGGTCCCCCCACCCACAGAGCACTTAGTAAGCCCGTGCTTGCAGTCTGGGGATGGGGGAGGAGGACGTGGCTCTGGCAGGGAGAGCAGATTTAACCAAAGCTGCCTCTATTGAGCACCACCTGTATACTAGGTTCATCCGTGTCGTGGTGGTTACGTGTTGACTCTGGGCTCGTTCCCTAGTGCGGCCACGCGCCCACTGCACCAGCCCCGGCCACCGACTCGACCCCTCCCCGCCTCCGTGTCCTCGCCCATCCGATGGAGGTCTGAACACTAGGCTCCGTCTGAGGCCAGACGCAGGGATTGAATGAAGTTGCAGAGTCCGCAGCTGAGAAAGCGCCGTCCTTGAGGGCCTGTTAGCCATCAACCGCCATCAGGAGGGCTGAGTGCTGCTGGCCTGGAGGGCTGCAGGCTGGGAAGCTTCTAATTCGAGATCACAGGGGTGGTGACCGGGTGCGGTGCCCGCACGACAGGCACTGGGTTCACGAGGCGGCCCCTGTGTTGTTCCTGTGGTTTTGTGGCTGTCTGAATGTGCACCACCCCAGCCAAGCTCTGGCAAATCCACCCGGTCCTCGCCTCCCCGCCAGGCTCTCGTCTTTGCCTTGTGCAGACCGATCCTGGCCAGCTTCACACGCCTGAGCCCATGGGAAACACCGGGGGCCGCATTTTCTGGGTCTTTCTGTTCCCAGCAATGAGCTCAGTCGACATCCCCTCCAACAAGCCTCGTTCACCCCCATCTCTGGGCACCAAAGGCCCCTCTGGGCTTTTTATAGGAACTGCTTCCCTGCCTTGGGCTCCTGGGAAATTCGGGAAATTCCTGGCCTCCTCCGACGCTCACCAGCATCCATTTCCTGGGCTTTGGCAACGATTTGTTCCTGGCACCGCGGCCGTGAACCACAGCAGCTCCTCCCCTGGGGTGGTTGGAGAGAGGGCCGGCCCAGAGCTCTCGCTCTTGCTTGAATTTGCATGCTGCCACCAGGTGGCAGCAGAGTAAATCAATAAGGAAAGGGCTGCCTTCCAACTCTGTGTCCCCTCAGCGGGTCGGCCCCTCTCTGAGCCTTAATGGCCTCATCGCTACGACCAGTCTCCTGCTCCACAGCCGGCCGATGACCTTCACCTCTTCCTGCCTCAGACCTCGCCTCCAGGCCCACCCTACTTCCTTTCCGCGGCCCCGCATGCCGCCCCCTCCCCGACCCGCTCTCCCCCTCTGCCCCCCTGCCTTGCTGCCTTCCAGCCGCACCGAACAGCCTGGCAACCCTCCCGAGAGTCCTGTTCGTGTGGGGCACTCAGCCCAGGCATCACCACCTCCTCCAGGAAGCTTCCCTAATAACCCCTGTGCCGTCCCCGCTTGGATCAAGAGCCCCCCAGGCCCCGGGCACTCCATGTTATCACGGCCTGGTCCTCGAGCAGTCCCCGAGCTGGGAGACGGACGCAGGGGTGGGCACAGTGTCACCGTCCCTGAGGGCCAGGGTGGGGCTCCTTGGACAGTTCTGGGAAATGCCTGGGGTGACTCCAGACAAGGAAACTGAGGCACAGAGATGGGCATCGACTTAACCAGGGTCGCCCGGGCAGGGCTGGATTAAAACCCCCATCTGTGTGCGTCCAGGCAGTGAGACCACTGTGACCTGGGCCCTCTACTGATCTCCAGGCCTCTCCCCAGCCCCCCAGCCCGAGTTTGGGGCTCAGACGAGCAGCCCTCGGCCCTCTCCCCACGTGGGAAGGACAGACAGGAACCTGGGGCTCCTGAGAGCCCCGTAGGGGTGGGTGGTGCAAAGGGCCGTCTGTGGGCCCAGGCGTGGAAGAAGTCCCTTTCTGAGGCCATCCTGTGTCCAAGCTCCCACCTCAGGGCTCGCTGGCCTCATGCTTGGGGCCCCCGTGGGAGGGGGCGGCCCTCCCCCCTGCACTGCTCGGCACAGCCCCAGTTTAGCCCCTGTACGTATGGGAGGCGGGAGCAAAGAAGTTGGAGCGCTCCTGGGAAGTTCATTCCTGGACCACGGAGGGTAGCGGCTGCTGAGTCCCCCAGGCGGGGAGGGAACCGGTCGGTCAGTCACCCAGGCTGGGGGAGGTGGCCAGGATGTGACTACGTCAGGGAAAGGGGGCTGGGGTGGTCTTGCGCCACTTAGGGGTGAAATGTGTTGAGTCTGGAATTTGCTTTAGGACACGTGGACAAGGAAAGAGATAGGGCCACGCCAGAGGGGAGCAGGTGTTTACTGGCCTCCTACTGTATACCTGGACCCCTGGATTCTGGGTGTGGCTGCCAGAAAACACTGGACTGGTCACCCACACCTGCCCCCGAGGTGGGAGAGCCCCCAGATCCACGAAGGCTGTGGGGGTGAGGCCGCTCCACACGTCAGCCCGCTGAAGCCCCCCCCCCCCCCCCGCCCTTCCCCTGGGCCTCTCGTGAGTTCCTCCAGCCATGGGACCGAGGCCCCAGGTGCTGAGAGCCAGGTGGGCATGGCCACAGCAGATGCCGGAGCTGTGACACGCACGCGTTCCGTGGCCACAGTGCCTTTGGGCTCCTGTACAACCTGAGCAAGAATCCCCCACCACGGCCAGGCGCCGGGTGCCATGGGCCCCCACGACCTGGGCATAGAGGGTGGCTGGAGGTCCAGCTGGGGCCGAGTGCTGGCAGGAAGTACCTCCTCCAGGGACCCTGCCACGTGGAGCCCCTCTTTGTAGCATTTGTCACTGGCACACTAATTCACTTACAAAACCAACCGTATTCTTGGTCCTGTGCTGGCCCTGGGGTCCTGCCTCTGCCCAGGCGCCTGATTTTCAGGGTGGCAGGGCCGGGAGGAGGTGGAGGGAAGGTATAGTTGAAGGAAGTATGGTCAACGTAACCCAGAGGAGGGCGGAGTCGCACCAAATAGAGTGAGGGTGACACCAAGACTTGGGTGAGGTCTCCGGGGGCGGCCTGGGCAGGGCTGGGAGGTGGGGCGGGGGGCGGGGTCCCATGTGCCCAAAGGGCAATTCTGGGCTCCCCTGGGTGGCTCTCTCCCCACCAAGCCTGCTGTATGCCAGGCTGTGTCCCCGCATCTGCACAGGGCTTTGTATACAGTAGGCGCTCCATAAATGTTTACTGCAGGATGAATGACAGATCCCACGGGCATGCCGGCTCTGCCCACCCGCCTATAGGAGAGGAATGTCTTTGAGCTTCTGCTCTGGGTCCTGGACTGTGGTTGATTTCAAACAGGTGAGTGACGTTGACCTTGGCCGGATGGGCTGGGGGTCTGTAGGTGGAGAGCCCGGGCACCGCACTCACCAGGATGGAGTCTCTGAGGGACCGGGTGCCCATCCCTTGGGGGCCCCCCCCCCTCCCCCCCCCCCCCCACTCACTGGTGCCCCCTGCCCTGTGAGACCCAAAGCACAGCCCCCTCCGCAGGACGTCCTGACAGCCTGCTCTGCACCCTTGGCCCTGAGTTGCCAACAAGAGGGACGCTGGGGCCTGAGGTCAGGACACCTGTGAGCCCAGCCCTCCCGGGGCCTCGTCCCGATACCAGGGGGAGGAGCGGCTCAGGTTGCAGAGCAGGGGAAGTGCATCGCCCAGTGTGGAATGGGGTGACCCAGGGCAGGGCCGCCTGCACGCACTCATGGGTTCCCAGGCAGTGGGCAGTGGGCAGCACGGAGCTTGGGTGGATGCCCGCCAAGGAGGGCCGTGAGTGGGGCTCAGCTTTGTGCCCACCCATGGTCTCTGGGGGGTGGGGCGGGCAGAGCCACGGTGCGACCTTGACCCTGGCGCGTGGCCTCTCCGAGTCTGTGTCCCCATCTGCAGAATGGGTGTCCCGTGGCTTACAGCACAGGGGGCTGCGGTCTGCTGGCGGAAGGGGGCCGGGCCTGGCAGGCAGCCACTGCTGGGGCCAGAGAGCCCGGCAGCTGGGATCCTTGCTGTTTCAGAAGGTTCCCTGGGGACGGTGGCACCCCGTCTGGAAGGCCAGGGAGGTTTCTAAGAAGGATGGGGTTGGGGGGAAGCCGGTGAGGCGACCCATTTTGCAGATGAACAAACTGAGTCATGGAACATCTTCATCAGGATGAGGGCTCTGGAGGGCCTCCGGCTCCTGCCCCTCCTCTGGCACTTACATCACTCACCTGCCCCCGCACGTCCCCCCCCCCCCCCAGACCCACACACACTCACTGAGCACTTGCTGTGCCGGCCAAGGCTCAGGAGCTCATGGCTTGCATGTAACTTGCCCGTTTTACAGGTGGGGAAACAGTCGAATGGCCCAGAGACCCCCCATTCTCTCTTCTTCCCCTCCCCCTGGGGCACGCACCCCAAGGGGCAGACAGAGTCCTGGCCTGGTCCCGCCTCCGTGTCCCCATTTCACTGGCTGGCTTCAGTGGACACTCCCCCAGAATCAGCAGCGTCCGGACAGACAGATGGACGTGCGGCCCGACACACTGCCAGTGAGACGGGTGCGAGGGCAGAGCCGCCGAGTAGGTGGCTGTGGGCCGTGGTTGGGCAGGGGCTCCAGGGTCACCCCGCCTGCCCCACCCCAGCTGGGGAGGCCGTTGGGGCGGTCCCACACCTGGGCTGCTGTCCTCACATCTTCCTTGCATCTTTGGGGCCACAGGGAGCCTGGGGTCAGAAGCACAGTCCGCGGAGCATGCAGGGGCTGGGCCCAGGGGTCCTGACTCCAAGAGGCATCTCTCAGACGCCCTGCACCCCTTCCCTCTCAGGGTCCGTGCGGCCCCAGCAAGGCAGAATGTGGCCTGCATGTCTAGGGACTGGGGTGGGCCCCACTCAGGTGGGTGCTGGGGGCCACAGAGCCGTGTGCCCTCCTGAGAGCCACAGAAACATCTCTGCCACCTTACCCATTACAGATTCACTTTGCCTTCTCAGGCAGGGGCTCTTTCCTGGGGTGATTCTGCCCCAGGGGACCCCTGGGCAATGTCTGCGGTTATCACGGGGGTCGGGGGGACTCCTGGCATCGAGGGGGTGGGGTTCAGGGATTCTGTTCCACCCCCACAGCGTCCAGGACGCCCCCACAGAGAAGACTCCAGGGGCTGCAGGGCCCAGAGGGAGAAGCCGGGAAAGAAAGAGATATTAGGGCTTATTTATAAATATGCATTATTATGAAAAGCACAAACGTACAGAAACAGAGAGAGAAGAGCTCACCAAACTTGGGGACCAAAAAAAATGCTTTTTAACGTTTCGTTCTGAAATGGTTTCAAGCTCACAGAAGTCCCCAGAATTCCCAGGTTTGCCACCCCCAGCTTCCCTGGAAACGCGGCCGGAGCGAAGGCTGGTTCCGATCGGCTCCTCGTGGATCTCCTGCAGCTCGGGCACCGTTCCCCGTCTGGTCCTGGTGTCTCCTCCGCGCGGGACGGCCCGCAGCCTTTCCTGTCCCTTGTGATGCGTCAGGAGTCCCATGGGCGGGTGGCTCCCGGGTGCCCTCCCGGGCACCACCTCCCCGCCCCGGGCGACCATCAACTCACTGCTGACGGTACTGACCTGGGGGCTTTCCCCTCGGAACGCATGCAGCCTGTTTCTGGAATGTTCGCCCCCGGGTCTGCGGCCCACAGCAAGCAGGGCTGGTTCCCCTCCTCCCGTCCTCCTGCAGACATTGGCTGAACCCTTACATCAGTCCAGCCACCTCGGGGCGCCCCCGTCACCAGTACGCGCCCCGTGTGCCCCCGGGCCCGCCGGTGCCGGCTGCGGCTGCGGCGAGCCGCCTGGGTCCTCCACCCCCACCCGTGAAGTGGGCAGGGATGGGCTGGTTGTTTGGAAAGTGCTCCGGCCACGGGGAGGGTGAGGGAAGCGGGGGCGCTGCCTGTCACCGTCACCACCACCGACACCTGTCGCCATCACTGTCACCACCTGTCACCGTCACCACCACCCGTCACTGCCACTTATCACTATCATCACCACCCCCACCGTCCCCTCCCTTCCCGGCAGGTCACACGACCCCTCCTCGTTCCCAGGCTCTTCTGGGAGTAGACTTGCACCTGCTGCCTGGGTTCAAATTCTGCTGCGCTTTGTGATTCTGGGCTGGAAATACCGCCTCTTGAGCCTCAGTTTCCCCACCTGCTAAGTGGGAACGATGAGAGGAGAACAGCCCTCCCCCACAGGGCTTCAATTACCCAATACGAACAGGAGTGTAACAGGGAGGAGGGACAAACACAACGTGTCCGCCGCGCACGCGCACGTCCCTCTGGTGCATCCACCGTGCACGCGCACGCGCACTGATGACCGCGTCCCCCGACCACGCGCACGTCCCTCGGCCGCGAGCAGGAGTGAGGCGCCCGTCCCCGCCGCCCCGCGGACGGACCCCGGACACGCGACGACGCTCAGGGAGGGAACCCGACACGAGAGGCCCCGCGGGGTGTGAGTCCGCGTGCGCGAAACGTCCAGAACGGGCTCATCCACGGACGGGAAGGGGGCTCGCGGGGGCAGGGGGCTGCGGGGGGTTTGCTGGGGGAGGTGATGGCTGATGGGGCTGGCGCAGGGGGCTGCTGGTGGAGATGGGGCTTCCTTTTGGCGGGGGTGGTGGAATGTTCTGGAATCAGAGGTGGTGGTTGCACAACTTTGTGAATGTACCATATGCCACGGAATCGTTAAATGGATCAGCTCTACGGAACGTGAAGTGCAATTAAATAAAACAAGAAAAGAACAAAAAAAGACGGAGACCTGCCGGAAAGCGGGCGGGCCCTGGCCCTCATGACCCCCTGCAAGTGCTCTGCTCTGGGTGTGCAGCACACGGAGACCTGGGGGGGCAGGCAGGCGACCGCAGGGCCAGGGGCTGCCTGGAGGCGGAGGCGTGGTGTGAGGCGGTGTGGAGCCCTGGGGGCTCCTCCAAGGGGCTGGGCTGGGCCGGGCTGGGCGGGCGGAGGGGAAGTGGGGCCTGGAAGCTGCGGCCGGCCTCGGCCCCTCCGGCTCCAGCTGTGGGTGACGCAACAGGCAACGGCCGAGGGCTGGGCCGGGTGGCCGGTGGGGGCCGGCGGGACCCGAGCGAAGGCCCCGGCGTCCAGGGAAAGTGCGGGAGGCTCAGCCTGTAGTGTCTCTGTGGCCGTCTTCCCTCCCGAGTGTGTCCGTGTGGGGCCCCACCCCCTCAGCCTCAGTTCCCCTTCTGAACAACGAGCGGGCAGCGAATGACCTCTTTTGGGTCCAGGCGGGGCCCCTGAACCAATCTCGGTTCGTGCACCCTGACGTTCCTCTCTGGGCCTCAGCCTCTCCATCTGCCAAGTGGGTTAATGGCAACTCGACTAACCTTGGTGGCCAGTCTGGGTGAGCACTGGCGGCTTCTGGGGGTGCTGGGCGGCATTGGGACACCCGGGGTCAGGGCTGGGGGCCGGGAGACCGCTCCGGGCAGAGGGCTGGCCCCTGCGGGCCCCTCTCCTCACGATCGAGTTGGAGAGTAAGCACGGAGCCCCCACGCGGCTGCTGGGAGAGGGCAGAGCCCCAGGGTTTGAGGCCCGTGTTTGCCTCGGACCCCAGGTGATCTCTGGTGACCTCAGGTCGGCAGCGCTGACAGTTGTCTGGACACAGCATCACCCAAATCCTGGCCCCGCCGGGCGCACGCCGGTGCGTTGCTGCTCTTCACTCTTCATTTTTAGATTTTACTTCCACCCTCGTAAGGTTCAACGGTCTAAAAAATGTGTAAACAGTCCCTGCTGGAGAGATGGGGGTCACTGTGCAATCCGCGCCCCTCTGCCCACCTCACCCCGCATGTTCGCGGGCTTCCTGGTTGGTGCTTCGAGCAGCCGGCGACAGGTGTCCCCCCGCCACACACACTGCTCTCCGCTGTCCCATGAAGACCCCTCGGGGCAGTGACCCGAGGACTCTGTACCTTCCACACGGCTGTGACTCCCCTGGTGGCCTCCTGCTGGGAAAATGGATTGCTTGCAGCGGGAAGATGCCTCGTCGCCCGCCGAGGGGGACGCCCGCACTGTTCTCAGCAGCTTTGTGTCTGTGTCCTCGTCAAAAGACAGGGTCTCCGGGGAGGTTGCTCAGTCTCTCGTGCAAACCAGTGAGGGTGAGGGTGTCCCCACATCGTCAAGAGACTTTTGTGTTTCTCTGCTCTGAACGGTCTGCTTACAGCCTCTACCTGTACGATCGGGCTGTTGTTATTGGCTTTAGGCACTCTTTATATATGAGCTTCACTGTCATATTTTATTATATGTTATGAAGTATACATGGAGACATATAGTGATTTATAATAAATATGTATGATCTATTTCTGTAGAATTTTATTTGGCTTAAGAAACTATAATACATAGTATATAATTATTTTCACATTAGTATATTATTTTAATATGAGTAATATTTATACTTTAGGTCTTTCTACGTGGCACACATTAGCCTCCTGTGACTCAAGTGGCAAAGAGTCTATCACCAGTTTCTCGTGTGTCTTTTGACCTTGCTGTACAATATATTCTGCGCACAAACGAGAGATGGTCCAGGGGAATCTGACTTGGGATCAAAGCTCACACTGGCTGTGTGTCTGCAGGCGAGTTACCCAACCTCTCTGAGCCGTGGCGGCCCCTCCCTCTGTCTGCTGGAGAGAACAGCCCCCGCCTCTCAGGACTGCGAGAGAATTCAGTGACCACAGGCCCCTCGGGGTGGAGACCGCACTGCCAGTTAGCGCCCATGAACTCCTGCTGCCAGCCCCGCCCGCCCAGCAAAGCAGAAATCGGTGTCGAGAAGAGGATGGGCATCGCTTCTTAATGTTTATTAGTTATTTTTTGAGAGAGAGCGAGAGAGAGCATGAGCAGGGGAGGGACAGAGAGAGGGACACAGAGTCGGAAGCAGGCTCCAGGCTCCGAGCTGTCGGCACAGACCCCGACGCGGGGCTCAAACCCACAGACTGTGAGATCCTGACCTGAGCCGCGACGCTTAACTGACCGAGCCCCCAGGCGCCTCGGGAATCACTTATTAGGGTCACAGCCACGGGGTCAAGGGCAGGGAGGCCCAGTGGTGTGCTGGGCACACGAAGGGCCAAGGATATAGGCACAGTGTGGGAGGTGGGGGCCAGTGATGGTCGGCTGGGCCCCAGAGGCGGTCACAGCACCCCCAGGCTTGTCGGCCATGATGGGGGCTGAGAACAGAATCTAGCCTGGGAAGAGACCACTCCAGCGAAGGCATCGGGGCTCCTGCCACAAGGCCCCAGGGAGAAAGAGGCTGTGCCATGTGTCAGGCCGTTCCAGACAAGATCCCCACCCCCCATCTCCCTGGACGGGTAGCAGGAGACTCAGGCCAGCCCCCTGGCTCCACCTCAGAACTACCCACCTGGCAGCTGCTCTGACAACCTGAGCCTTTCTCCTGCAACCCACCAATCTTGTTCCAACCCCAGGGCCTTTGCACATGCTGTTCCATCTCCGCATGCTTCTCCCCACTCTTTTCCTAATGAACTCCTACTTGACGTTCGGGTCCCAGATGCCTCCAGGAATTTCCTGATGCTCGTGGGCCGGGTCAGGAGGCACGCCCCCAAAGAGAATCACGACGTCCTGTGCACATCTCTATTTTTTTTTATTACTTTTTGTTTGTTTGGCACCCCAGGTGGGCACAAACCCACAACCCCTGGCACACCCCTATCTTCACACATGTCTGGCCCCCCCAGCCCACAGGGTCTGGGAGCACCACAGGGCAGGTCCTTCTCTGTCTTGTCCCTCATCGTCTCCAGCCCCACCCACGGGGCTTGGCACGTGGTGTTTAATAAATGCTGTTTCCCACACTGTTAAGATGCTCAAATATTTGAGACATCCAATTCCAATTCCACACTCGGTCCTGGGGCCTCATCCTGGATGTCCCCCGCCCTGCTGCCGGCTTCCCCCCAGGCGGTCTGCGGGAGCCTTCGTGAGGCCGACTGGACACGAAGTCAGGAGAGGGGAGAGCTGCAGACCAGGGCCCGAAGGGGCCCAGCCGGGGCCAGTGCGGCCACAGCACACGTTTTGGTCTGTACAGTGATTCGGGTTCAAATCCCAGCTCTCAGTAGTAGTAACCTGCCGCGGGATCCTGGCCAAGTCACTTCAGCTCTGCGCCTCGGTCCCTCTGCCACAGAAAACGAAGAGTCAGTCGGTTCCAAGCCCAGTGGGTCTGTGACGGTGGGAGAGAGCAGGGTGCTTTCTCCAGGAAGCGGGTGACCCGGGAAGAGGGTGGACGGACGTCCCAGAGACCACTTCCCCATCTGGGCGAAGGGGGCGCTGCGAGCGAGGGGAGCCGGTGCCCCGCGGGGTCAGCAGACCCTGAACAGGCTTGCTGGCATCTGAGTGAGACGGGCGTCTCCAAGGGCCATCAGGCCTTATCTTCTGGGAAAGCCCGGCCTTCAGTCCTCGAGGCCGGTCGTCGGCAAATCTCAAGGGAAAGGGGTTAGTTCCGCCACAGACCTAGGGCTTCGGGCGGCAAGCGGGATGCACACGCTGGGAGCAAGTCCACCCGTGGGGCGCTGACGGATCCACGAGGGTGGTCCTGAGGGTAAACCAAGGCACGGAAGGCACCGGGCTTGCCTGGGAAACACAGATAAAAGCGGAATACGCTTCCTGCATAACAAGTGGCAGAAAATGCCAGTGTCAGGAAAGATGTGGGGACATGGGCAGTGCTCAGTTCTGCGGGAGGGGAGGGCAGGTTGGCCCGGCTGCTGTGACCGCCCTGGAGAGGCTTCTGCAGGGAAACACGCACAAGACAGCTCGTCGTGACAAAACGCCTGGAAACGTGTCTGCCGGCAGAAGGGCTGGATAACTGGGCCGTGTGACCAGGCCCCGGACCGTAGGCCCCACACAGGGGCGCCTGTCCCTCGTAGCCCTGTCCCCCAGGCCCCTCCCCCAGGCACTGATCCCCCCTCCCCCTGCACCTCCCCATGGCGCCCCCAGCGTCGGTCCCTGGCCTCCCCCCCCCCCACTGACCCCTCTCCCCTCTCCACCCCCCTCCCCTGCCCTGCCCTGCCTCCCCTCTTCACTGCCCTTCCCACCTCTGCCTGGGGACCACCGCCACACCTCGTGGCCCCCCCAGCAGCAGGGCCAGGACCTGAAGGCTTCGGGGCAAAGTGGAGACACCAGGCTGGGGGCCTCGACCTCAGCCCCCACCCTGGGAAGGGGCTTGCAGGGCAGGCAGGAAAACCGGCCCCAGGAGGACACCCGCTCACCCTCCAGGTCGCCCTCCAGGTCGCAGGCAGCACAGGGTGGGCTGGGGGTGGCTGGGGAGGGCAGCGGGACCCAGGCACCCCCCCCCACACACACACCCCCTGCAGGGGGCCAGCCCCTCCCAGCAGGAAACAGGAAGTTGCCCAAGGCCTCCACCACCAACCGCTCCCAGGGCCTGCCTGGACTCTGGCAACGGCCCCGTTCTGTGCCTCAGTTTCCCCCTCCGTAAAGCGAGCCACAGCTCCAGGTTTGGGTGAGGGTGATGTTAACTAACCGTTGCTGAGACCCAGCGCGTGGCACGCCCGAAGCAGACCCCCAGCATGGTAACAAAATGGCGAACGCCACTCGCGATGCGGGCTTGGGCCTCAGTTTCCCCAGCCTGAGTGCTGGAGAACCCAACGGGCCCGCTGGGCCTGTGCAGGCAGCAGACCGGGGACTGGGTCCTGCTGGCTTCGGGGAGTATGTTTCAATACTTCTGCTTTCCCAAGAGTCCCACTGGGATCTCATTCACACGTCACTCAGCTCCCCCATTTAAAGCGCACACTTCAACGGCTTTTAGGGTCTTCACAGAGGCGTGCACCCCCGCCCCCCTCCCCCCCACGATTAGGGGTAAAACAACCCATCATCCCAAAAAGAACACCCCCCCACCCCTGCCGACCGCTAGTGATCACTCCCCAGCCCCCAGCCCCACGAGCCTCTTCCCGTCTGTGGATGAGCCCCTTCCGGATGTTTCACACACGGGGGGGATCACACGCTGTGTGATCAGCTCTTCGTGACCAGCTTTTCACTTTTTAACCTGTGAGGACTTGGGTGGGTCGCTCACCTGCCCGCAGTCTGGGCATCTGCCAAGTGGGTGGGAGTGGCCGTGGGGCCGCCGAGCTGGGTGGCGCTGCAGAAGTGGCCCCGCCGTCCCGTCTTTGGAGCAGGGCCTTCCGAGCTGTGACACCCCGGACGGGGGCAAGAGAGAAGGACCACGGACAGGGAAGGGCGAGGCTGGGCTGCAGAATGCAGAATGTCTTACGAGTCAACAGAAAAACAGCCCGGTTTGGAAACAGGCAAAGAAGCTGAACGGACACTTCCCCTAGAAAGTAACCAAAGGCCAAGAAGCCGTGAAAAGACGCACAAAGTTATCAGTCATTAGGGAAACGCAAACCAAAGCCACAATGAGACACCACTGCATACCCACCAGGACAGCTCGACTGAAGGACAGAAAATACCAAGTGTCATCCAGGATGTGGGCAAATCGGGGCCACTGAGATGGGGCAGCCGCTGCGGACAACAGTCTGGTGGTGGTTCCTCAGAAAGTTCCACGCAGCAACCATTTCTAGGCGCGTGTCCGAAAGAGCCGGGGGGGGGGGGGGCCACGGGGGGCCCCCCGATAAGCACGCACGACGTTCACAGCAGCCTGATGCACAGCAACCGAGACGCAAACGTCCATCGACGTGTGAACGTATACCCATCACACGTCTTCTGCGTACGCGCACGTCCACAGAAGACCGGGCCCACCGCGCACGCACACGCCCCTCAGGTGCGTCCACCACGCAGGCGCACGTCCACGGACGACCGTGTCCCCCCGCACACGCGCACATCCCTCGGCCGCGAGCAGGAGCGAGGCGCCCACACCCGCTGCCCCGCGGACGGACCCTGAACACGTGACGCTCAGGGAGGGAACCAGACACGAGAGGCCACGCGGGGTGTGAGTCCACGTGTGTGAACGTCCAGAATAGGCCCATCCACGGACGGGGAGGGGGCTTGCGGGGGCTGGGGGGCGGGGGTGATGGCTGATGAGGCCGGGGTTACTTTCTGGTGTGATGGAATGTTCTGGAATGAGACAAGGGTGGTGGTTGCACATCTCCGCGAAGATGCTAACAATACCGTTGCATGCTACGGTGTAAGGCAGCTAACTTTGTTGATCAAATGCCAGCCCAACTTTTTAAAAGTGGCATTTGTTTCCAAGGTGAGACTCGGAGTTTGACAAGGGTGGTGGCCACCCGCGCCTCGGGGTTGCCACTTTGTGTCTGGGGCTGTGGAAGGCTCTTCCAGGCTGGTTTTGCTCCCAAAGGCAGATGTGGGGTGGTTTGGGGCTTGGGAGTCAGGGTAGGATGTTGGGGTCCTGGGGGCTTAGGCCCCGCCTTGGTCCTCACCAAGCGACACGGCGCAGCTGCCTAAGTGTCCCCTGCACGTCCCTCAGGCCTGCTTCCCGCTCCCCCGCTCCCGCCTGCCCACCTGGGTGGCCAGAGCACAGCGGGAGACAGGACTGGCTCCGGAGACCACACCATCCCTTCCCTTGGGTGACCTCAGTGTTCCCT